GGCTGTGCAGGGAGGCGTGGCGAACGATGCGGGACATCACCTGCTGGCCGCGGGTCAGGTGATGTCAATGGGGATGTCACAGGGCATCCCAGGGCAGAGGTCGGGAATATAAGAGGGAGAAGGGAGGAACCATGGGGGGGAGACAAAGACGTGGAAGGGGAGGAAGAGAATAGGTGAAGGAGGGAAGGAGGACCTATGAAGGGAGTGGAACCGGAAGAGTCTGGGGAGAAAGGAAGCCTGGACAAAGAGGCGGGTCAGGTGATGTCAATGGGGATGTCACAGGGCATCCCAGGGCAGAGGTCGGGAATATAAGAGGGAGAAGGGAGGAACCATGGGGGGGAGACAAAGACGTGGAAGGGGAGGAAGAGAATAGGTGAAGGAGGGAAGGAGGACCTATGAAGGGAGTGGAACCGGAAGAGTCTGGGGAGAAAGGAAGCCTGGACAAAGAGGGGCATGGCGAATCTCAGACGCCGGAGGGAGAATGCCCAACGGAGGTGGAGACAGGTGAGCCAAGAGCGAGAGGAAGTGGCCCAGGACAGAGCTAGGGAGGTAAGCCCGCGGACTGGTGAGTTAAGGGGTAACGCCCCACCAGTCAGGTCACACGAGGGAGTCGTGACTCTCCCTTGACCTTAGGGCCCTAGGTTGGGACTCGGAAAGAGGGCGGGCCCGAGTCCCCCTTCCCCTCATCCAAGACACACTATCCTGGGTAACGGGAGCAGCATTTGTAGCGACTGATAGGGAAGTAGCCCTGTAAGTCCTGACAGGGCCAGTGACTAGAGGCTCAGACTGGAGAGGCCTTTTCACACCTTCATAAAGCAGAAGAATGAAGCATATGTATGTCTACACTGCAACGCTATTTTGGGATACTGCAGTATCTCAAAATAGCCATTCTGTGTCGTCACAGCAAACCCGTTATTTGGGCTCGCTATTCCGTCCCTGTAAACTTCATTCTACAAGGAATAAGGGACATTTCGGAATAGCACTTTATTCTTATTTCGAGTTATGGTGCTGTGCAGACACACTCCCATGTGGGAGGGGGATCCTGACATTGTAATGAGGGCTTAAAAAAATCCACTAGGCTCTATGAGTCTGAGGCTTTGTCTACACTTAACAGGTTAAAGCAGTATTGTGGCTCCCAGCATTACAGCATGGATCACACTGGTGCTTTACAGCACTGTGACTTGCTGTGCAGGGAAAGGGGGTAGGGGTCCCTCACACTTCTGAGCCAGAAAGTTACAGCACTATAAAGTACCAATATAGAGCAAAGTACTAGCGCTAAGAATTCAGGAGTTCTAAGCCCAGGTCTGACAATGACTTTCTATATCCTTGGGAAATGCACTTAACCAATCTGCATGATAGACACTGCACATTTTTTGAAGAACTTAAATTATCTGGCATGCTAGAGAAAAAAGGCAGAACTTGAAATGCAAGTGATAAGCCTACATCTTAATGCCTGGACATCTTTTGTGAGCCAATAATGCACCAGATTCAACCCCTGCCTAAGTTATCTTTTCAAATGCTTATCCAAACAAACCATGTTACACC